GTGTGTGTGTGTGTGTGTGTGTGTGTGTGTGTGTGTGTGTGTGTGTGTGTGTGTGTGTGTGTGTGTGTGTGTGTGTGTGTGTGTGTGTGTGTGCGTGCCAGAATGGCCTGAGGGGCTCTGCCAAAAGAAACCCCCTCCCTGCCAGCCTCAAGGAAAATACCAGCCCATTGTTTCATTGACAAGCTTCCATTTTCTCTTTCAGATGCTGAGACCATAACTGCATCTCTCACTAGAGGAGGCCCAGCAGGTAAAAAACAAATCATCCTAGGATCTCAGCCCCTCCCTCTTCGTATGTGTCGCTTAGAACAGCCACTGTAAACTTTAGAGAACAGCTGGGATTATGCTTTAGGATGAAATTCACCCCTGGCTGTAGGGGCAATGTAAGGTCCCCAGCATAGTGTGGTGCTTCTGCTATGCAAGGGGCAGGCACATGGAGGTGGACTGGCTCCCCCTCCATCCCTCCTCCCGCCCCCCACCTGTGGTGGAGCTGAGCTCAGCACCAACTCCACCAAGCTCACCATGTAGAGTGTGGGGAGGGATGGGGGCCACTGGGATCCCAACTGGAGGGGTGGAGAGTCTGTGAAAGAGCTACATTAATTGAACTGCCCCCACACACCCAGGTTGGGATGGGATCCACCCCCCTACCCCCACGTAGGTTCCTAGATACCACCTACTTACGCTGCCTTTGTGCTGGGGCATGGAAGGCATCACAGTGAAGAATCTGGCCCTCAGTTTGCAGACCTAGGGCCTGGCTTTCAAGGGAGTACAGTGCCCAGCAGCTCCCATTGCAACAGTCAGCATGCTGAGCGTGTCAGAAACCCTGGCCCTGGCTGTAGGTGATGGGCTCACCTGAAAATCCAGCACTAGGACCCAGATCCTCAGAGGGATTTAGGTGCCTAACTTTCATGGAAACCAATGTTAGGCACCTAAATACTTCTAAGGGTCTAGCTCTAAGAGCCAGGTTTGTTTAAGTATTTAGACACTGAGAGGTGCAGACAGGCACCCGTAGAACAAAGCGGGTTGTTTTCCCCAATTAATGCGGACGCTTTTGAAACTGCGGACCTTTAAAAACTCCACGCATGAAAACATGACCTTTTAGCCAATTAATCTGCAAGGGCGAGGGAAACTGGAGCTCTAAGGAGCGCAAGTCAGGTCCAGAAGTGGGACAAACTAAAATGAGCTTTGTCCAATGCAGGAGGAATGGGGACGCAGCGCTGGTGGGTGTTGGCTGTGCTGTGCATAAGGAAGTTTGCAAGGCCATTGGCTCTCTCTCAACAGCGGTGCAATCAGTTTTCCCACTACCTCACTCCAAATTCCCCTCCCCAGATGTTATCTCCCTGTTTACCATCAGAAATGTTGTATCTGGAAACCGGTGCTCTGGGGAACATTATCTGTAAAAAAATAATAATAATAATGGTGCCCCTGAGCTGCCTGGCTGGGGACTAATTCCTGTTGTTTCCCTTGTTTTGAGCTTCTGCTGCACATTTGAAAGCTGCTGTCACTTATCTAGACACCATCGAGTTAGGAGCAGTGGCTGCAAACTTGGACTCAGTATTGCCAACTCCATGCATTCAAAAATCATGGGTTAGGCTCCCCAAATTATGAGATTGGCTTTAAAATCATGAGATTTGAAACAACAACAACAATAATAATAATTAATAATAATAAACTTCTGGATTTATTTATCTGGCCTTTGATTTCTGAACTTTTAGAGGGCACTCAGCTTTTCTCTGTAACCGTGAGGACTAGAAAGTTACTTTTTTTTAAAAAATAGAAGCTGAGACCCTACCCTAATCACAGGATTCCAGGAGCTGGGGGTTGAAGGCAAACACCAAATAACACAAGATTCATGGTAAAATCGTGAGAGTTGGCAGGACTGGCTAGATGTGGGAAATGGTGCTTCTCACACATCCAGAATGGAGCTATCAGGTAGGAAGGACCGCTGGGTCAAGAGAAGAAAGGAAAAGGAATTGGAGTTACCAGAACACACTGTGTCTCCAGCTCCCTGTCCCACCCAGGCCCTAAAGCAGGGGTGGCCAGCCTGTGGCTCCGGAGCCACATGCGGCTCTTCAGAAGTTAATATGCAGCTCCTTGTGTAGGCACTGAGTCCAGGGCTGGAGCTACAGGCACCAACTTTCCAATGTGCCAGGGGGAGCTCACTGCTCAACCCCTGGCTCTGCCACAGGCCCTGCCCCAACTCCACCCCTTCCTGCACCCTACCCTCCCCTGAGCCTGCCGTGCCCTCGCTCCTCCCCCCAGAGTCTCCTGCACGCCACAAAACAGCTGATCGGGATGTGCGGGGAGGGAGGGGAAGGTGCTGATCGGCAGGGCTGCCAGTGGGTGGGAGGTGCTAGGAGCGGGGGGTGGGGGGAGAGCTGATGTGGGGGGCTGCTGACATATTACTGTGGCTCTTTGGCAATGTACATTGGTAAATTCTGGCTCCTTCTCAGGCTCAGGTTGGCCACCCCTGCCCTAAAGCATAGTGTGAGAGTTAAAGCTGAGCCAGGCAGAACTGGTGGGTGAGGGGCCCACTGGGGCAAAGACACCCACAATCTTGGGAGGTCTGGGCCCCGTGCGATACCTCCTGGCCCCACACTCCATCCACTACAATAAGTTTTTGAGAGGGTGGCTCTGAGACAGTTCCCTAAGCCCCTGGCCTCTTTGGGTATGTCTACACTGCAATTACACACATGTGTCTGGCCTGTGCTAGCTGACTTGGGCTAAGGGGCTGTTTAATTGTGGTGTGGATGTCTGGGCTAGGACCCCATGAGGGGGGAGGGTCCCAGAGTTTGGGTTGCAGCCTCAGACCAAAAGTCTACACCGCAATTCAACAGCCCCGCAGCCCAAGCCCCAGTCAGCTGTCACGGGCCAGCCACGGGTTTGTAATTGCAGTGGAGACATACCTTTAGTCTTCCCCTACAGCTCACGCTGTGGGAGCTAGCCCAGCCCCAAGGCTGCAGTAGGCATCCCAAAGCTGAGACAAAGGGGCCAGGAACCACAAAGAGCTGCTCAGGGAGTGGGGAGCTCTTTGGGAGCAAGGTGCTAATGTAGCTCTCAGAGCTCCCACCATAAACCCTTTGCATGCCAGTGGGGACCAAGTTCACAGCGCTTTACTGCTGTTGGCACAAGCAGCAGCATGAAAAATGCAGCTGCACTTAGGGTGACCAGATGTCCCGATTTTATAGGGACAGTCCCGATTTTTGGGTCTTTTTCTTCTATGGGCTCCTATTACCCCCCACCCCCTGTCCTGATTTTTCACACTAGCTGTCTGGTCACCCTAGCTGCACTGGATGCCCCCCTCCTCCCACTGCCACATCCACAGGCACTGAGACGGGTGCTTGGCTCCTTGGGAACCGCTTCTGTGTGCTGTGGGGGGGGGGGGGGGGAATTTCATTCCTGGAGAGAATGTGAAGGAAGAGAAGATGGATGCTTGTTCTCTAGCAGAGATGGGCCTGACCTGGATCTGTGCTCTCCCAGACTCGGGTGGGCATTGCTCTTGGGATTCCCAGTCAGGCCTGGCTCTGCTCTTCCATTGCCCCCAGGAGAACAGATTTGCCTGAAAGGTTTCTGCGCACACAGGGTAGGATCCCATTCTCCACCCCGTGTGGCAGATCTCAACTCCTCTGTCCCTTCTCACATGGAACTCTGGGAGGGTGGATCTGACAGCCAAATGTTGGCCTTACTTTGTTCCGGCCAGTCTAATCTGGTACGGAGACACTCCCTGGCCCCTCGAGAACAAGGGCTTAACCTCAGCTCAGCTTCCCCCTCCCTTTGCAACATTGCTCAGGAAAAGATCCATAACTTGGCTGCTGGGGAAAAGAGGGAATGCTAATGGGAAGGTGGGTTCCTCCCCTAAAGGCAGAGGGCTGGGTTGCATCATAGTCAGTGGGAATTTTGATGTTACTCTTTTTTGCTTGTGTTAACTACTGTTGATTTCCACTGAAGGACATCCTCCCTGGAGGACAAGCTCTTGCTTGACTGTCCCTGTGTTTTCTTTCTAATGGTTGCTCCACCATCATAGAGGTGGGCAATGTGATTGTGACAGCACAAAAGAGAGGCTTGGGAATTAGATTTCAGTAGTGTTAATGGAACCCGTCCTTGCCAGAACTGGTCAAGGACACGCAAGCTCTTCCCCAAATACTGAAATACTTTCCTCCCCCGGCCCTCCAAGGGGCTTTACTATGAAATGGTGCTGGTTTTCATATGCTTATTCCTGTCCCCTGAGGTTTATATTTTAATGAATTACTGGAAAGAAAGGATCTGAGAAGTTGCGATTGGAAAACTGCTGTTGTCATTTCATGTAATTAGGGACCAAGGTAATTCTGGCATCTGCAGTCCAGTCCAGAGATGAAAACTTTGAGGAGACGGGTAGATTTTTAAAGCGCCACGTGGGATGCCTAACTGCTTTTGAAAACCCCAGTAAGCACCAATCTGCATCTTTAGGTCCCTAAATATCTGACCCATGGTGGTGCTCAACAGCATTAAGATCCCAGTTTAACAAAGCACTTGAACATGTGCTTTAAGTATTGTCTCAGCTCCAGAAAACAGCTCAAATGGCCTTTCTCCACCAAGATAGAGCAACGGGCACTAGCTTATTACTGCACAATGCCAAGCATTGGAAACACACGAAGGAGCAGCACAAGAACAATAAGAGACCCACAGAAAACAAAGTTACTCTAAAATGAAGCACTGTTATACCCTCCTCTTGTAGCCCTGACCATTAGGAACCTGACTGATTATATTGTTATGTTATACGTACCTGTGGGCTTTGTTCTTGGGGGATGAATTCACCTCAGGGCAAAGGTGTGGCACAAGACCTAGGCACCACTTAAATGAATTTCAGCCTGAGTGAAATCATATCCGCACTTTTTGATTAAATAAAGAATAAAAATAATATAGATTCCAAGGGCAAAACATTGTCACCATCTAGTCTGACCTCCTGTAGCACACAGGCCAGAGACCTGCCTCCAAATAATTCCCAAAGCAGATCTTTTAGAAAAACTTCTAATCTTGATTTAAATATTGTTCGTGATGGAGCTTCCACCTCCACTCTGGATAAATTGTTCCAACGGTTAATTGCTCTCCCTGTTACCAATTTACACCTTACTACATATACATATAGCTCCTTAAACAATACGATCAACAGATGTCACACTCTGAACAGCTCATCACTTCTGACTATCTGCTGCTTTTGGGAAGTGGGATTAGGTGTCTTCTGAAGCCTGACCAGACAGAAGATGGGACGGGGGACACAATCCAAATGATTAGCAGAGAAAAACATGGGAAGTGGGGTAGCTTGACTCTCCAGTCATGACTCTCTACAAAATACCTCGGTCATGTCATTTCAGATACTACAGCCACGCCACGAATCACAGCCAGCGTCACAGCAGGTACAGTCAGCATCTCGATCCAGTTACAACATCCAGCGCTATCCGGTGGTGGTTTGAGAATGAATAGGGCCCAGATCCAACACAACCCGAGGGCCCCCTGCCTGCTGACGTGTCTCTGTCTTTCCTATGGGACTGCATTTCCTCTCCAATTCTGACTGCTGTGCAATACAACCTCTCCTCCCTCAGGTCTCTGGGGATAGAGGAAAGAGCAGACCCCTAACGGGGACATGAAGCATGGCTCCAGTCTGGCTCCTCCTCTCCAGGGTCTGTCTGCCCAGGAGCAATGGGTGGGAGGCTTGGCTTGGCTGCCTGCGGAGGGGAAGACTGCTAGCTGGGAGCAGAGTCAGCCAGGAGAAGAAGTGAGGCAGGAACGGGACCTACAAGTGGCTGTATGGTGGCCCTCCTGGCTCCCTGCCTTGCCAATTCTCCCCATTCCCCTCACTCCCTGGGGCAGCCCTCTGTGCTCTCTGGCAATGGGCCCCCTCCCAGTCTAGGGTCTGGACCTGCTCCTAGCCACATCAGCCTGTCTCGGGCCTGGTGATGGATGAAGTCCTCTTCAGTGCTGCTTCCTCCTCACCACATCAATCTCTGAACCCTATGCTGTGTGGAAGGCCCCTTCCCATCCACCCATCTCAGCCTGCCTTGGGCCCAGCAGGATGACACCTGCTGCTGGGGTGTGAGGGATCTAACTCCATCACTTTGCTCCTGTTTCAGGTATCGTTTCCTCACCATCGCCAGTCCCTGCAGGCCAGAACCACAGCTCAGGTAAAGTCGGGCAAAGGGGAAGAGCTTGAGGGAAACTACGGACATGTAGCCCATGTGGCACTGGATGCCAGCAGAACCCACAGAGCAGTGGTGAAGGGAGCTTCCTGGCTGGCATGTCCAGTAACTGGCCTGTGTTGTAGCTTGCTGGGCAGCTTTTGTGTTCAGCCAAGCGAAAACAGAAGCCATTTAGCAGGCAGGTGAGTGGGCCAGTTGTGGGTCTGCATTCGGGAGGCCTGTCTGCTATGGCCTGCTGAGTGCCTAACTTTGGTGCAGGTCTTGCTTTCAATGCTTACCTTCTCCTCCCCCAGGATTGAGGGTTTTTTTAATCCACCTGCTGGTTCACCATATGTATTGACTGTGAGCTCCTCAGGGCGTGAACTCGGTGTGAGTATGTGGGCCAGAGGGATACAGTGTCCCTGGTGTCTGGCCTGGGCCTCTAAATGCTACTGCAATAGAAATAATGATATCAATGGCGTCCTTCATTAGAAGAGGCTTCCCTGCACCACGCTCACTTTACAAAAATGAAGTTTGAGATTCACAGGTGTCACTTTTTCATTCAAACAAGCGATTAACAATGTGTGGTGCTTGACCCACAAGCCCCTCGTCACAACACCCCTGCTGGGTTGTTATCTCCATTTTACTGAGAGGGACATTGAACCAGAGACTCCCTGTGAGAGGTGGGACTAAACCCACGCTCCAGGCTCCCAGTCCCTGCTTTAATCCATTAGCCCATGCAGGTATGGCTAGTAGAGGGCTCCTGTGTCTAGTTCCATGGAAGCAGCTGTCAAATCACATTGCAAAGGATTGAAACAATGGATTTTCAAACGAAAAGTGCTCCCTTACCTTATTTTTGCTTTTCTGCCTTCTGGTTCCACTGAAACTGGCTCAGGGAGGCTGCTGCAGGTGGCTAGAAGTGAGGACTCCTTCCCAAGAGATGGGAGACAAAGGCTGTCAACAGAAAGCTACAAGCTTCAGTCTGCAAATATAAATCCATATGATAAGCAAGTCTGAATTCTTCCTATTTTGGGTCCACATGTTGCTATCTGGGTAGATTCCTCTGGAAAAATACTGCACCTTTTGTTTGAAAAATTCCTTTAAAGACATAATTTCCCCCCAAACAAGCAAACACAACATGATCCTAAATCAACCCCCTAGGTCTGAACATCCCTGATCTCTGAGAAAGATTGAATCTGAAATCAGATCTTAACGTCACAACTGGCTCCTATTTCTGCAATGGGCCAGACTATAACTCTATAGCTTTTATACAACACTTTGCATCCTTAGCTCTCAAAGCACTTTTGCAAAGAAGGTCAGTATTATTGCCATTTTACAGATGGAGAAACTGAGGAACAGGGAGGAAAGTGACTTTGACAATGTCACACAGAAAGCCAGTAGCCAAGCTGGGAATTAAACTCACGTCTCCTGACTCCTACTTCAGTGCCTTATCCACTAGGTCACACTGCCTAAACACTCTCAACCTGAGAAAGTTTTACTTCAGATTTAGATCCAGGGTGGACTTTTCAAAAGCACCAACGTAACTTAGGAGCACCAAGGATCAACACAACATGTGTTCCTAAGTCACTGAGGACTGGTCTAAGCTCAGAAGCTGCACCAACAAAATTCTGCTTTGTTCGGTGGATGCAGGTGTGTGTCTGCTCAGCTGTGCATCTGCTCTCCTGTCTGTCTCCTACCAAAATAACCATTATTGCGAAATAGCCATTCCCCTTTTCAGTGGTCAGTATCCTGACCTATGGGACTGAAACATGGCCCCTCACCGTCATCACTATTCAGATGAAGCATTATCTCCAAATGATCAAAAACATTAAATGGTTCGAAGTCAAGTCGGATTAAGAGATCCGACCTCTAACTAAACAAGTCCCGCTCTCTCAAACAGTCTCCCAATGCAATCGAATCTGTTATGGTCATTTGCGCCAAATGCCTCCCTGCAAGAATCATCTTTGACCCAATGAAAGCAGGATGGAAAAGACCCTTTAGAAGACATAAAATATGATCGTTGGATGTCGTCAGCCGCCACCTGTCTCTCACAGGCACCGTACCCCATGATGTGCCAGATTTAGGACAGAACTATGGATGCCATAACATGGCATAAAGCAGCTTTGCCTCTCCTGGAATTGAGACCTCCTCATCTATTATTGGGAGTGGACTACATCCACCCTGATCAAATTGGCACTGTCAACACTGGTTCTCCACTTGTGAGGTAACTCCCTTCTCTTAATGTGTCATTATATAATGCCTGCATCCGTAATTTTCACTCCATGCATCTGAAGAAGTGTTTTTACCCATGAAAGCTTATGCCCAAATAAATCTGTTAGTCTTTAAGGTGCCACCGGACTCCTTGTTGTTTTTGTGGATACAGACCAGGGGTGGGCAACCTATGGCATGCGTGCCAAAGGCGGCACGCGAGCTGATTTTCAGTGGCACTCACACTGCCCGGATCCTGGCTACCAGTCCAGGGGGCTCTGCATTTTAATTTAATTTTAAATGAAGCTTCTTAAACATTTTAAAAACCTTATTTACTTTACATATAACAATAGTTTAGTTATATATTATAGACTTATAGAAAGAGATCTTCTAAAAACGTTAAAATGTATTACTGGCACACGAAACCTTAAATTAGAGTGAATAAATGAAGACTCGGCACCCCCCTTCTGAAAGGTTGCCAACCCCTGATACAGACTAACACGGCTACCCCCTGATACTTGATAACGTGTTTGGAGGCTGCTGGGCTGTCCAAGACAGCATGACAACTAACTAACTAACTTTTTGGAGCAGCACAAGCCCCTTACTAGCAGAGTTATATCGACAGCTAGAACCAGTGCGGATGTCCACTGCTACATATAGCTATGCCGATAAAAGAAGTCCTCCCATTGCAATCCCACACTGCGCAACTCCTTTAGGCAGTGACCTGGCTGATAACCATTTTCAACTCTGCTGCTCATGGGTCAGAAACTCACCTGAGGACAGATTTACAAAGGGATTTCGGTACCTTAAGATGCAGATTGCTGTCTAGTGGGATTTTCAAAAGCACTTAAGTGGATACCTTTGTAACTCTGGCCCGTGGCTTTTACATGGCCACCATATACTTCACAGCCACACCTGTGGCACCAGCAAGTACATGAGAGAGCATCACTCCTTTCCGATGGGAAAAGTAATTGCATTCCGGTGCAGCATGGGCCAGAAAGGAGGTCAGCAAGCCCCTTAGATTGTGGGGATCCCCAGGATCCTCTGGGCCACTCCTTCTAAAAGAAGAGTTCCAATTTGCAAAAACCCGCTGCAAGCCTTCTTGTCATCTAATGCATGGAGGGAGAGGGGAATTCAGCATGGCTCCTATTTATCAATCCATGCCTATTCAGCAAAATACTTGCACATGTGCTTAAAGTTAAGCATGTGCTTAAATGCTTTGCTGAACTGGAGCCTAAAGGAGAAATACTTTAAAGCTGTTTCCCCTGCATTTCTTTCCCACCTGACAGTGAGGAGGATTGTCAGCAACAAACACCTGCGAAGTCATGTGATGCTGCTTCAACTTTCCTTGCAGGGATTTGTGCGCAGCTTTATTTTTCTGCCTCGTTCTGCACAGGGTTCATGCCCCAACGTTTTGCTTAGAGTGTCACGTTCAAGTGGACCCCCCAAAACTCAAAGCAAACTGCAAAGGTGAATTTCTGTAGCTGCTCTTGAGCCATCCAAGCATAAAGGAAGTGAAACACATAAGCCAGCGTGTGTCGGAAAGCAAACAATTGTGTGTGGGGGTGATGGGTATTTCTAGGCCAGTACAAACCTCTTTATTTTAAAAATTGAGAAAAAGGAAAAGGTGCAATATGAGCTGGAACTCCTGCCTTCTAGCCCAAGAGTTGTGTTTGCCTCAACACACCTGAGCAATAAGATTTCTGGCTACTGCTAAAGTTACAGTACTGCAGGCGCTCTGTTCCCTCAAGCAGAACTAGAAGCAGTTTCCTTGGCTGTTCAATGCTATGCTCTTTTTAACAGATTACCCATAACTCCCAGGAGGCCTGAGGACTTCCTGGGAAGGGTACTGCCTTTAGCTGAGCTGTTTCTAAACGAACACGGGTGATGAGAGCTAATTAAAAATAACCCTGCATTTATTCCACAGCTTCAAATGTGTTGACTTTAATTACACCAACTCCCAGGCTCTCAAAGCAGACCACAAAAGGCCATCTGTCTGGCCCAGCTGAGGGAAAATCAAAATCGGCATCAACATCAGCTGCAGTTGTTAAGTGCCTGCCGTGTTCCTAGCACAGTACGGTACACTTCATTGTAGTGACACTGAGACTTTGCACACACAGGCTATGTCTACACTGCAAGTGAAGGGTGATTGTAGCACAGGTTGGCATATCGGTGCTAGCTTTAATCTAGCTAGCAGGGTAACACCAAAAAGATGCACTCTGGTTGCTACACTAACATATCTACACTGCGCTACATGCCAAGTGTGCTACAATCTCACCTTCACTTGCAGTGTAGACATACACAGAGTGTTAGATTGTGCAACCCATCCTCCTGTCAACGAGTGCTTCCTTATACAAGTGATGCCAGGAAGACTATGTAGGTAAAGGCCAAATTGTTGCATGCCCAGCACCCAGTGCACTGAGCCATTTGGAATAGCAGGCTCTAAGTGCTCACCAACAGGAGTATGAGCCGTCCAGTCTGGCTCATAGGCTGTGTAGGAACTTCTCAAACTCTTCATGAAGTTTCACACAACTTTCTCCTGTATGACTGTTGGGTTAGGCAGAAGAGTTATAGAATCAAAGAGCCATACGATTAGAAGGGACCGCAAGGGTCATCTAGACTAACACCCTGCCAAGATGCAGGATGTGTTGTGTCTAAACCATCCAAAACAGATGGCTATCCAGCCTCCTTTTGAAAACCTCCAGTGAAGGAGCTTCCATGACCTCCCTAGGCAGTCTGTTCCATTGTCCTATTGTTCTTAGAGTTAGGAAGCTTTTCCTGAGATTTAATCTAAATCTGCTGTGCTGTAGTTTGAACCCCTTGCCTCTTGTCCTGCCCTCTACGGTAAGAGAGCTATGACTTTTCTCCATCTTTTATATGGCCGCCTTTCAAGTATTTGAAGACCACTATCATGTCCCCCCTTATTCTCCTCTTTTCCTTCAGCCTTTGCTTATATGGCTTGCATTCCATCCCCCTGATCATCTCCCTTGCCTCTGGATCCTTTCCAGTTTGGCTATATCCTTTTTATACATTAGTGACCAAAACTGGACACAGTCCTCCAGACAGGGCCTAACCAGCGCCGAGTAGAGCACTGAGTCTTTAGTTTAACATCTCAGCCAGTATCTCTGATGATTGCACAGGTAAGCTAATGCATGCCATAGATGGTTTATTGGCAGGCTATCTGATTTTGTTGGGCAGGGATGAGGAAGAGACAGTGCTTAATTTGTAATGAAAGAGGTGTGGACGCTCAAGCAATTTTTTTACTTTCATAAAAGAAGCAGGAAAACCCAGAGTGCCGGGGCTATGAACTGCCAAGCTAGAGGTGCCAGGACTATGAACTGCCAAGCCTAGAGGTGCCAAGGCTCAGCCCGAGCAAGCCCTTGCACAAATTAAGCACTGGGAAGAGACTTTGTGGTTAAATTCAGGTTGAAAAAAAAATCGTCTGAGAGAATGCAGTAACAACTGCAGGGTTTTTTCCAGCTTGCAGTGTTATCTTGTGAGCTGAATTTTGGGGGAGATTTCAGTGAAAGCAACAGTTTCCCCAAGGAACTTTAAAAAACAAAGGGCAGCCCTATAGTTGACTCCCCTGCACTGACATGCATTGTCTGGTGCATCTTCAGACTACATTCTCCCACACTGCTGCATTCAGAGTCTGCACTAATTTGTTTACAACCTTGGCATTCAGCGTGGCTGGGTGGGGGCTGTGGCACTGCAGAGGCTCAGAAAGCTCTTTGGGGTGGAGGGTGGTGGCTGCTAGCCAGCCAAAGGGGTGGAATTTTCAAAAGCACCTCAATTGACTTATGATCCCCTGGCTCCTGGAAGATCAATGGGGCTTGTGCTCTTAGTCACATACAGTTATGAAAACACCCCCCTACACACACACACCCAAGGCCTTTTGTTGGTGAGCTGGCAAACAGCCAGCATTAAAGTCAAGCCTTCTGATCAGTCAGCAACACAAATATCCTGGGCAAACGGCTTAGGTGAGTTTCTGATCAGTCACAGGGGAATTTTTAATTCCCTGTTTTCACGTGGTTTCTATCTAACTTCAAAGCATGGAATAGGGGGTGGGGTACAACCACAGTAGGGGTTTTGTTTTGTTTGGGGGGAAGGTGTTAAGCCTAAAAACAAAGCCCTTTTTCACTGGTTGCCACCGTGGTTAGGGAAAACCAACATTTCCCTCCAGCTTGGTGTATAATTCTTTTAATTGCTACAAACTGTCCATTGACAAGTCTCATGTCTTGTGTTTTCCTCATCCAGATCCAGGGGAATTGGGAGCACAGGCTGTGTCCCTTTATATAACAGCTTTTAATTTAAACAAGAATTCATTGCAACTGAACTAGTTGGTTTACGGGGTCCAGGTGCTCTAAATGTAGTCCGACCTTGGAGTTCTGCTATCCGTAACACCTGGAATAAACGGGGGTGTCATCCCAGCAGTCAATATAGACCAGATGACAAAATCCAACCAATGCACCCTGACTGGACTGTGTCTGAGTGTGAAAAGAATGACCTCACTTTGAGAGTAAAATGCCCCCTGTAATGTCTTGGAAAGACCCTTGCCATGCTTCTGACATAGGCCCTAATCCTGCAGTCTCTTCCAAGCAAGATTCCTGTAGACTTCAGGGAGAGTTCTCCTGGAGTAAAGGCTAGATCCAGCACTGAAGTCAGTGGAAAGACTCCAGTTAAATTCAGTGGGAGTTGGATTGAGCTCTAAATCCTGAGTTCGGGCTTTGAACCCAAGACTGTGGAACAACCAAAGTCCACCCCCGCCCCCACAAGAGTCCATTCCAGATTTTACACAAGTCCCAGTGCATGCAGTGTAAGTTAGTTCTATCTATGTAGATGTTTGTGCTCAGTAAAGCTAATAGTTCTTTAGGGTATCACAGAGCCTGGTATTTAATTTGAATCCTGCTTTATGTAAAAGATCAGTGCAGCTTTAACTATGGAGTTGCTACTGATATTTCCATCATTCCAGGCTTTTGGTGTGGGATCTAACATTTCCCAAATACTAAGTACCCAAGCCAGGCTAAACAAGCAGTGTAGCAAAGAAAGTCCTATAAGACAGTTGTCTAGTGACCATGGATAAATTAGAAGATGCAGTATTTCAGCACAAGGCAAACAACTTGATGATTAATAGAACAATTGTACAGCAACATTTGCAATCTGGATAATCCCATTACCAGTTATGTTCCTCCGGCACAGTTCTACTCTGGGAGGCAGCTGTTGAAGGCTGCTTGAAAATTTCGGTCAAAAAGAAGGCGTGATTTTTTGGTGGGGGTTTTTTGGGGGGGGGAGGGGGAGGGAGGGTGTTGGGAAATGTGTTTTGTCTACATTGAAATTTTCCATGGGTAAATGTCAGTTGGCATTAAAAATTTCCCTTTTCCAAAGTGACATTTTGAACCAAAACGTTTCCATTCAAATTGACATTTTATTTCAATTGAGAATGTCAACATTTTTCATTTCAACACTTCCAAATGGAAGTTTTTCAGAATTTTTCATTCCGTGAACATTTTTGATACTCCATTTTTTTGGTCCTGATTTGGACAAAAACAAATGTTGAAATATTGGAATGTTCCACAGGACAAAAATTCCATTTTCTGACCAGCTCCTTTGGTTTCCACTTGGAAAATCTGTTTGTGCTCCAGTGTAGAAGCCCAAAGACGGTGTTACAACCCTTTGCGCAGCATATCCTGGATTGGTGCCATTACATCACTGTCTCTCAAAGCCATTGCCATAAGCAGAGGCAGAGAGCTGTGCCAGGAGCTAACCAGTGTGTCTGATAGTTCCCATATACTCTCTGGCAAACCTGAAAACACCACAGAAGTTTCCCTTCCTTGGGATGAACTGTTCAGGCGTGAAGGGCGGTTGGTTGAGCTAGGCAGGAAAGCTGGTTCTCTGAGAGGAATGCTGGTCTTGTGGCTAAAGCACACAAATGGAAATCGGGAAGTGTGGGCTCTATACTTGGCTCTTGCTGCAGTCGTGTCATGCTGCAAATCCCTCGGCCTCTCTGTGCCGGCTGTAAAATGGTAGATCATGAGCATTCACTCATCCATGTGGATCTTTTGATGAAAAGGGGCACAGAAGTGCAAAATACGGTCCTGCTCTCATTGAGGCCAATGGGAATTTTGCATTGATTTCACTGGGAGCAGCTCAGTCTCTCTCTGCAGTAAGGCTAAACGCTCTTTGGGGGAATGGAGGCACCTTGCCAATGTGGCCTCAGAATTACGTTCTCCCCGGATTCTGAGTAGAAAGTCTTTAGGTAAAACTACCTTTTCCACAGGCGCTTCGAAACAAGTGACCTCTACAACCATCGCCTCTGCCTGGAGCACAGGATCTTCCCTCTCAGACCCTGCCCCGACGGAGGAAAAATCGGCTCTGACGATGGCAGCGTTTGGTAAGGGCCTGTCTTTTGGTGATTCGGAGGCGAAGCTTGGTGATGCAGTTGGTTTCAACCTTGGTAGGATTATACCAGGAGTAAACTCAGCCTTTTGGGTTAAAGGTTTATTGGAAGTCAAGATGTATTGTCATTTGAGGAAAATACCACTCAAGACAAAAGAGCAAGAGGTTTCTCATTCTAGTGAATATCACCTCTCTGGTCAATACATTTTGATGTTCATTACAACAGAAATAAAAATCTGCTTAATGTTTTTCCTTAAGGATGCAACCCAAGTCCCATAGAAGTCAACAGGGCTAACTCATTGACTTCAGTAGGAGTTAGACTGGGCCCCAGACAGACCTGTTACATTATCATTGACTAATTATTCTTTTCTCCATTGCTCAGGTGTCATCAGCTTCATAGTCATTCTGGTAGTTGTTGTTATCGTCCTGGCCAGCGTGGTCAGTCTGAAATTCAAGTGTAACCGTTCCAAAGATGCAGAAGGTATTTGTATATGCTTGTGTGGTTACAGTCATTCCAGAAGTGCTATAAGGGGTTGTATCCAGAGCTAAATGGCATTTCTGGTCCAGATCCCTGTTTTCAGTCACAGATGGGCTTCAGAACTGGGCCCATGTAATTTTGGTATAAAAATCCTTTGTAGGCCGAAACTCTCCATGTTTGGTCTCATCCTGAAATTATTCCTTTCCCTCTTCCCCTTTACACCCACTAATTAGCAAAAAAAACTTGATCTGGCCACTTTGAGTAGAGGCGGAGGGGAATGAGCTTAAGATGCTTTTATTAAAAATGACTTTGTCCAGTGATGACCTCCCAAAATCCTAATAACCGATTCCCTACCGGGTCCTCGGCAGCACTTTGGCAGTGGGGGTGTCTTTGCTCCGGGTTTTCGGCGGCACTTCAGCGGCGGGTCCTTCAGACCCGGAGCGAGTGAAGGACCTGCACATTGCATTAGCACAGATTTTTGCACTGAATAGTAAGATTTCCTGGTGAAGCCTATATTCCAGCTCAAGCACTGTCCACTAGGGGGCAAAGCAGCTCAACTGACAGGACACTCTATGTTAGCCAAAAGGCTTAAAAGAAACAAGTAAGGCAAACATCAGCACTGTATTCAGCTCACTCAGCTTTATACAGTTTTCTCTAATCAGGGCTGAAATACCTGGCAAGGCTTTACATTCCATTGATTGCCATTTACAACACCACTGGGGTCATTCTGAATAAATCTCGCTTTGCTCATTGATAGATTTTTTTTTTCACCCAGCACCAACTTTTTTTTTTTTTTTCCCCAACAGATAAACAGAAGCCGGGGAGCTCCGTGGTATCTGAAAGGTGAGGCTGCTCGGCAATCACGGCTTTCTTCATGGCCCACTATGAAGGATCAGGGATTAGTATCATTTATTCGTATTGCCATAGCACCTGCGAGCTCCAGGCATGGACTAGGACCGATCTCCTTTTTTTTTCAAAACTCGCTCTAGCAAGGGGAGGGAAATGTTTAGTGCATTTGGGGTGCAGGGGAATGTCATGACATTTCTTTGGGATAGGTGAAAAGTGACACTGAGCCTGATCCTGCCCCCAGCAGAGTTAGTGGAAAAACTGGATCTCAAGCCACGTATTTGGGTACCGAATTTCTGAGATGCATTGAAGCCAGTGGGGGGCACAGCACCTTCAGGAAATCAGCCTACTTATATTTAGGTACCTAACTATGTACTTAGATTCCTAAGTTTAGCCCCCAGATTTGAAAGTGCCTTCACTGAGACAGGAGTGGTCCCAAAGACCAAGTTTATATGACACGCCCCATTACCACAGTATCTGAGCACCTTGCACTCTTTAAGGTATTTACTCCCAATTTACAAATGAGGGACTGAGAGGCTAAGGGTCTTGCCCAAGGTCACTCAGAAAGTCGGTGGCAGGGAATTAACTCAGGTCTCCCCAGTCATAGGCTGGTGCCGCAGTCACTAGACCACCCTTCTCTAAACTGTCTGACAATCCAATATGAATCAACAGAGTAAAGGGAAAGGATGCCTCTTCCTGACTCGCTTTTTTCACACTCCTCCACAACACAAACGGTAGTAATACCCCTGAATGCTGCTGGTACTTTAAAACAATATGTTCCTGGACCTTGTTTGTACAACACAATCAGTACCTAGTGATTGCCAGAGCCCTGGAGGCTGAACTCCGCTATGTAGCCCCAGAACAGACACAGCATGAGCAACAGTCAGTGCAAGACTCCCCATGCCTAGCAATGTGTTCAACCATGATGTTGAAGGACCACATAGTGAAAGGGTAATTCAGGCGCTCTATCCATTGTGTCGGCCTCTTCACGGAGTCTGCCAACAACAGTACTAATTGTGCTGATAGATTTGTTACATGAACATTTATCTACTTAAGAATTGGTCTGAAACCACAACTTGTTTCCCAGAGACCACTGAGGAGACATCGGATGAGAAGAACTTTCATTTATACCAGTAGAGATGGGTCAGAACCAGAACAATGATTCCAAGTTCAGATCCAAATTTCACAGGACTGTGCTGTCTCTCACTGATCCAGTTTGGATCCATTAATCCAGAAGCCTCCTACCCATAACTATGGGGAGTGCCAGATCCAGATTTGAATTCTATAGCTTGAGCTCCTCTCTCTTCGTGGATTGGAAATGAACCAGCAACCAAGAGGGGGAAAGCTCTAGCAGCTATTCCTGGTCCACTGAGCCATCCTTTTCCCTAGCCTTGTCTGATTGTGATGAGAAACCTCTCCTCTTATGACAGTTGCTTTAATTTTCCAAAGACAATAATTGGCCTGCACCTTCTCTTGTTTAGCAGTTGCTCTCCTGCTACAGCCAAGGACAGCATCACTCTGATCTCCATGAAGAACTTAAGCATGAACAACAGTACAAGTTACCCCTCTTCGGAAAAGGTTTCTCTTTCTAGCCTCACATTTTAGAGAATTGCTTAGGATATTGTTTCTCTCCTTGGGGAGAAGATCCCTTTGCTTTCTTAATCCATCGGAAAGGTGGTAATAAACAGGTCCATGCAAACTTCCAGAGGTCTGAGTTGGTTCAGAAGAGCATGGAAGAATTTGGGTGCTTATCCAAAGCTTACCTGAACTACCTGAGTCCTTTGAAGCACCATTGGCATGTACCATCTGTCTTTGTAGGTATAAGTGAGGGTTACATTGCCATCTAGTGGCCAGCTGACAACACACTGGGAAGGGACTACCACTATGGGCTAAAAAAGTTCTTCTTTAGCTGGAGGTAGAGACCTATGTTTGAGAGATCAGGGACCACTGTTCTCCTCCCAGCTCCCACTGTGGGTATGATGTGCTGTGATTGGTGTTTGCAGTACATGGTTTCATTAACATTAATTCCCTTCCCCACACACACACAGCTGGACCATCACTTCCCTAGAGGTTACTATTTGACACCTAGTCTAGCATTTGGGATTGTTGGAGGGATGGCCAAGAGTTCCCAAGTGGCTCTCCAAGGGTTAGTCCCTGGGGGGATACTTTGCTTGTTTTCTTTTGTCTGCCAAGAAAGCCTACTGATGCATCATGTTTTGGTTCTTTTGTAGGTGTTATGAAGACAGGGACATGACAGGAGCCATGAGGAAACACTACTAGCTAATCAGCACTGACTTTCTATTTTGGCAGGGGGAGGCATTTCCTTTATAAGTTATTACATCCCTTCCAATCAATATATTTACTCTAAAATCAAGCTCAGTAACCCCATGTGGGTCATAAGAGTTTTCTCCAGCTGGAGCCAGCCTCTCATAATGTTTGATGTTCTAACTATATTTCTGATAGGCACACAAACTTTCAGTGTGTTCTAGCAGCTCCTAGGGGGAGGAGAGCCAAACCTACAACTTCACCGATGACATAGACCACTCCCTTAATGACCCTTTGGCATCTGTGCCAGACAATCATTGGCTTGCCCCACAGCTGATCACAAACATCCCAGTTCAGCTTTGCACTGAAAGGCATGATCCAAAGCCCATTGAAACAAACAAAAAGACTCCCATTAACTTCAGCAGGCATGGATCAGGCCTGAAGTCAATAGGACTTCAGCAAATGCTTAAGTGCTTTGCTGAATTGAGGCATAATTGCTGATAGTCCCTCTCCGTGCCTCAGTTTTCCTATCTAAAGCAGGAATGATATTTACCTACCTCCCAAGGGTGTTGTGAGGCTACATTAATTAATGCCTGGAAAGCAGTTGGAGGTCCATGAATGAAAGCTGCTGGAGAAGTGCAAAGTATTTTAATTATCATTTCTATGAATTAAACTTCAGCCAGTCAGACATGTTCCTATGACTACAGTATGCTCCCTGCAGGGAATATCCATAACCCTTCCTTGATGGCAAATGTGGCCTCTGAGTATATGATGCTTCCAACAGGCCTGTGCTCTGATCCCTTCTGAATGGGGACAGCAACATCTGTCAGATGAAATGATTCAATTACTTGGAATAACAGAAGTAAAGTCACTTTAACAGAATGCAGCCCTTTATTTTCTGCCAGTCTTTGGTTCCTAACTAACAGCCCCAACGAGCCACCATGCTTAAAAAAAA